CAAATTCAACAGCCTCTAACGCAGATTCCTCCCGCCCTTTTTTTATTCCTTTGTTCCGTCTTTCGTCATCAGAGTCGCGCTGCTTCAGCCTACTGGAGGGTAGGGGAATGCAGAGGATACTGCTTTTGACGTAGCAAGTAGGGAAGCGTGCACCATCCGTAGTTGCCCGACTAGCTAGCTAGCTAGCTGCCAAGCTAATGTGTGCAATCAGCGCTATGATGAGCACTGAGAAGTTTCGACAAGTAGCTCAATGTTATCCATTTCACTTGCGTTTCCTTCCTCTGGCCAACGCCGTCAGGCAAAATTTCATACTCTAAAATATCTACTGGTACAAAACAGAGATCATTGCTTTCAAGTGAATGTAGGCGCCTTGAAATAAATATTAACTGACTAGATATTAGTGCTTTAAAAAAAGGAGCTTCGATGCAGAGATGCGGAGGAGCCTCGGTTTCCATGCACTTTGTTAACGACCCGCTGAGTCGAGAGCTGCGAGACACAAACAACTAAGTGGTCGGTGAATACTTTAAAACTAACATGAATAACTCGTCAAAGGAAAAACAATTCGTGCCTTTAATTAGTGATTAGTGCTTCGAACCATGCACATTTCAAGGCAGCCCTATTCAGCCCTTCGCCAAAAAACCCTGGGGAAAAAAAGGAAGAAACGGCGACGATTATGTGAGGGAGCTGAGTAGAATAATTGCTTACTAATAATTATAAATAATAAAAGGTGCATGGTAATGACGTCGTACAACGAGCACTTCTCTCTTCAAGAGCAAACCATAAAAACCGAAGGCATGAAATTCAATTTAAAGTACACGGTAAATAATCGCGCTAGATTGGAGGCCGTTGAATTGGACAGGACGCATTTAGAAAGAAATACAAAAATGAAAGAAGGGCTCGAACACGATTCTTTCCGAAGGAGATCTCTGGCAGAGGAATACACCGGAAAAGACCCACAAAGAAAGCTAAAAACGGAATAACGTGCCCGGATGAATATACTGTAGCATGCGATATGTAACACGCAAGAAAATATAAAAACATAGATATAATATAACTTAACATCTACTATATATATACTGCGTAATACGAC